GGAATGTAGCTGGATGCAGGTTGCCATGAGTCTAAATTAAACATTTGTTTCACAAATAGATCCAAAAATTGACCCTTCATGCTTATACCATGTTGTCTCACTTACAGCATGCCCCTAAATAAGATACACACTTTGTTTTTTTGGGAGGCAAAATGTAAGAGAAAAGATCTTTCTGGAATCATGGTATAAAACTGCTTTTTTTTTTCAGGGAGAGGCAATGCTGCAAAATGGCTGCTAGTTGCTTTCTGTAACAGGAAGCAGGAAAGGTGATGTCCAGTTTTAAACCTATTAATTTAGCTAGTTTAGTTAGTTTCTGGCTGCTGATTTGGCTGCTCAGCCAAAAATTGTTGCCCATTTGAGAACAGTTGCAAAAGTTCAGCACAGGATTCTGCCTCTTTAAAAGTTGGCAGGCAGAGCATCTCTGTTTCAGTTCCTCCATGCTTCTATTCCAGCTGCCACAATAAAGACATGCATCAGACCATTACTGATGCCTCTGGAGTGAAGAACAATGACCCTCAATTAATGCAACAGCTGGTGCAGTGTGGAACAGAAGTTAAAGCAGGATGCTTCTATCCTGGTCAGATAATCTGCTTCCCCACTACAATCCATGCACCCAGTTTTGGGTGGTTGATTCAGTGGGGGGGAGAGGGGAGAGTTGGGGAAAGGTGTGTGTTGTATGCCAAAAAATACAGTATTTCCCTAATTAAGTTTACAAATTCATTTCCCATTTTCTATATTGTTTTGAATGGACCTGAGCATTAATAAAGATGAGTTTCTTTAAAAAAAAATTTTAAATTATACACTGATTCTTTGGTGAGAAAAATCATTTGCTATAACAGTTCCTATTATTCTCTTGCAAGTAAGTAAAACAAGTGTTGAAACATCCAGCAAAATCCCTGTTATCTGGAATGAGTGGGGAATGGGAGGTGCTGGGTATCTAAAAATGCTGGTTACCTGAGGCCTGTGGTTTTCAGCTGGACGCGGAGTTGGGGCCAGGGGGGTGGCAGTGGCTGCACATGGAGCAGGTGCAGTGCAGGATGGTTGGTGGCGATGGCGGCCGCTGCATGCAAGTTCCCTCCCTCCCTCCCGCCCACCCATGTCTGGCTGACTGGCCAGAAATTCTGGTTAATAGAGTTTCAGGTTAATTAAAGGCTGGATAACAGGGATTTTACTGTATTACAAATCTGAGCCTAGGCAGTCCTTGGGGTTTTGCCATTGAGCTAACTTGCAGGCCTTTCAGCTATTTCTATCCTCCAAAGAGTATACACCACTTTGCATTGAAGAGTTCTCTTTTATGGCCCAGATTCTGATATCTCCTCCCTATTCTGAGTAGTACCTTACTTTACAGAGGGTGCCAATGACTTAATTTGCACAATAGATGACCCCATTTAGCTACACGACAGTGTGCAACCAGTGTGAGCAGAACTGAGCTCAGCACAGGTAATTGCACCGATTTAATTCAATTGTTACAGTGTCAAATCAACAAACACATATGCACAGGCTTAACTCTGCTTTTCTAACCAAAGCATTTAAAAATCATTTAATCAGACCCAAATAACTCATTTTATTGGCTTGAAAATCATGAAATTTTTAAAAAAGTAATTAAAAAATAATAATTTATCCTCCAGCACTTGAGCCCCCTACAGGTCATGCCTTCACCTGTCCTTTGCATCCATGAATCCTAGGTACCTAATAATTTTTAATCTAAATTGAAATTTCTGTGTTTTAAAATTACTATAATAACCGGGATTCTGAGGAAAAACAGTAAACATTATGAAAGAAATAATCAATCATGAATGTCAGCAGACGTTTATATATAGAAAGAATTCCGAAGACTTCATTGGGACTAGTTGCACACAGAAAGTTTAGCGTGTGTATTCACAATATCACAGGTATTTGAAAAATAGCTAAAACTGTGGTGCTGTGTAGGGAGCTGCCAGCAGTAAGGCTGATAACATACCACAAATTAGTGATTCATTGGATAATGCTTCTATTGAAACTGTAAAAAAGAGCTTCAGATTAAAGAGGAGGAGGATTCATAACATAATTTACTGTGAAACAGGAAAATGTAATGAGACCATTGTAGTCTTTATTCATATCGCTATAAATCAAATATACATAAATCTTTATGGCTTGGGATTAACATGTAGTTAGATTTCCCAAATAGTTCAAGCATGAAAAGAAAAAATGGGGGGTTGATAAACATCCTAGTTATCCTGCTTATCTGTTTTAAAGAAGTAGTTTTCTGAAAGGTGTCTTTTTTCTTTTTAATTGAAACTTGTGTAGTGAAATGTTGCTTATTACCCTAAATTTATTGCTTCTGATTATATTATCTGTACAGGCAAAGTAACTTTCCTCTTGCTTTTATATCACTGGAATTAGTCATTGGCAAAAGCAATAATACAAGCGCGGAAACCTATGGTAGGTTCAGAGTTGCCAGCTCTCCTGGTTTTTTTGGCTGAAGTTGGAGCCAGTCTGGAAATCACCAGAGAAGCCAAATCTTCTCAACATTCGAACCGTGCTTGAGACGAACCTTTTTTGATCGACTCCTTCCTCCACTTGCCTGCCTCCTAAGAAAGAGCATCTCATCAGGACTGCTGCTGGAAGTAGGCGGAGTTGTCTTCCTTTCTCCTCAGACTCTGGTACTGTTCCAATAGAAACTGATGTGGGATTATTTTAGAGGCTATGGGGACAAGTTAATGTTTGGGTGAAGAGAGTTAGATATCAGAGCTTCTGCACTCTCAGCCAACAGCACGTTATTCAAAATGTGTGGGGTGAGCAACCCTGAATTTCACATAGGAAGGTGAGCTAAAAAATCAAGAGAGACCAAAAAGAACAATACAGTAAAATGTCTGTTATCCAGTATGAGAGGGGAACGCTGGGTGACAGTTATGTAAAAATTCCAGATATCTAGAAATACCTGCGGTGGGGCTTGCATGCGGTGGCAGTGCAGGGTGGTTGCACGTGACTTGCATGCGGCGGCAATGGTGGCACGGGGTGGCGGATAGTGGTGGCAGTGAGGTGTGGTTGCATGAGGCTTGCACGCAGCAGCGGTGGTGGACGGTGGCGGCGCGGTATCAGTTAATAGAGTATTCTGGCTAGTAGAATGCTGGATAACATGGATTTTACTTTATAATCTTTCACAAAACAAACCAACCCCACAACAGCAACCACGATTCTTGGCCACACTCATATGACTCAAGCTTTTTTCAAACCTTGGGGTTGACATTACTGTGAATTGTGGACCACAGACTCGAAAAAGCCTATGAGTGGTCAGGGTACATGTGTGGGCAATTTTGTAATAATCAGGTTGCTCTGTCCTTCTCTCATTCAAGTCAATAGATACAATCCCATTCCTCTTATGATGAAGGCTCTGTCCTTTTGCCTATGTAAGGCAGAATCCCTCCATGAGGAATGTCACTTGAAGCAGTGCTTTCTACAGCTGTACTACAAATGCAGTATGTCTACATGTTTATCGTTAATTGGTGTGTAGGAGGGCAAGTCTGCAGTCATGTTGTTGCCTAGTACTTTCAGCTGCCATTCTGGGGCTCACCCATAGTGGGACACATGTGACTTCCTTATGACTTTCTTCTGCATTGATATGCTGAGAAAGGAAAGAAACTTGCTCTTTCCTTGCCTTACCCCAATCTAAAATAATTCAGGGCGGCTGAGATAGCCATAATTTGACTTATTTGCAATATTCAATTATTTTTACAAAATTGTTCTAAACTTGGAGAGAAGCAAATAACTTCTCCTTTAGGAGAAAGAAGAAGTTAATAATAAAAGTCAAGAATGAAGCAATTGATAAATACCTTGATTTAAATGCTGGATCAATAGTGTGAATTCATGTTTGAGTATATTTCATGCTTTCTTGTGATGGTATTTTAACATTCTGTTCACATTTGATAAAGATGATGGTTTCTCTCTCGGGAAGGCCATTATTTTGTGGTTAAATATATGTGTGCTACTGCTTGTTCTTTCTTCTCTGAATCTCTCAGTGTATTTTGACATTTTCTGGTCCTACCATATAGAGTAATTCATTTTTCATTTTGTTTTATCTATGATTGTTCAGTGATTCCTGCCCTCTCTATAACACATTTATTGTGGTGCCTTGCACCTGTTACTTACTATTAATGACTACCTTCTTTTTCCGATCAGCAATAAAGCATTAATGCAGGTGAAATATTAGAATAGCAACAAGATTGCATCCACAAATTCATTTATATAAACATATTGGTGTACCAATTATTGTAAACTTGAATTTAATTGAATATAATGTGGTTGCTAGGCAAAGCGAAGATGTTAAGGTTATGCAAGGTCAGAACACAATGTTTAATTATTTCCTTTTTCAAATGCATCTCCTACCACATTGCAAATAATGAACTTATACTTGGTACATTCAAAATCTTCTGTCATGTTGAATTCAAATTAAAATAGGGCAAAATGTCCCCAGAGCTGTTTTGAAATGCTAGAATTTTGAACATTTTTATGGCAGATTTTAATTGTATTAGATTTTTTCATTTAAAAAAAGAGATTCTAATGAAATGAAATAGATTATTAAAAAGCCTTGTAGCTATGTTTCTGTTTTCATGAAGTGCCTTTAAATTAGAAGTTTTAGGTACATGAAATTGGTAAAATGAAATGGAGAGAAATTTCATAGTCTCCAGTATCATGTAAACTTAATTGGAATGTTTCTTTTTTCTTACTGTTCTCTAGTACATTAAAATACCATAATTGTATAAAAGAATCCTAAACATATGATTTGTGGAAGATACAGAAATATTTTTTGCCACAGTTTAACTACTCCCCGGATAATTACCCTGTAACCAAAGTATTATTGTCTCTCTTAGGACTTGGCTGCACTTGAAATTTGCTGTGTGTTAAATGTGTTATTTTGTTTTTAAAGTGCATTTTAAAATGTCCATAAACAAAAAAAGTGTTCTTGTGAATGGGCTGATGTGTTCTTGTGAATGGGATGTGTTTACTCACAACACAATAGAAACGGATGCACCGTCATCAGAAGTTAACTGTTGCACATCTACAAAGTCTTCCTCCAATTATCCCTTCCTCCTCTGCTGTCTAGCTGGGTTGCCAGTCTGTTTCCTAATATATTCTCTACTCCTCCAAGGTTATCTGGACCAGATGCAATCTCACTGATGGAACACTGGTGTGTAAACAAATGCCTTCCTCAGCTAAGTCCATTCCTCATATAATTGAATAACCATGCCTTGTTCTTCAGTGTGGCTTGAGGTCATGTACTTCATTGCCTTTGTGGGAAGCTAAACATTCATGGAATCATCTAAATTCTGTCTGCTGCAATGTGTAGGTATACAAGCAGCTCTCTGAAAAAAACATGAGGAGGGAGGCTCAACTGGAACCCAAGCAAGAACCACAATGAGGGAAGGAAGCTCTGTCTGAGTTATAGACAATGGTTGGTTTTCTGGAGTCTTGCATTGTCTGCAGTTAAAAGGAGGAAATTAACTATATAATTACTACAGACCATGCCACTGAACCACCACATTTTGCAGATATGATCATGGCTGCACAAAGCAACTTGGATGAAAGCTGGCGACAGATTGATCCTGAAATCAAGGATGATTGATCCAATGAATCCTAAGGCAAAAGCCATCCTGAAGATCCAGGAGCCCACCAGATCACAGCCAGAAGGTCCACATGAATCACAAATGGAGACCCAAATGTGGAAGGAAACAATTTCTGGTAAGTATTGTGTTAAGTCTTATAATACAATTCTACAAAAAAGATTTAAACATATTAGAGCTAGGTATTGCCTTATAGCTGCCATGTTAGTTAAGGCTTCCAGTCCATTTTGCCTTTTAATATCTAGTATATTCATTTAGCCTTTCTCTGCTTCCTGGATATTTCATGCCCCACCATTTCTCAGAATGATGGCCACATTAGATAGCATATAAACAATCCCTATATTAAAGTTATTTATGACAACATACAAGCATTGCTTTGGCTTTCTGTGTTCTGTCCCAACCCCCATTATACTTTAATTCTGATTGCCATAGCCTGATTCCCTCCCAGTCCACTCATCAAATCTATGCTTCTTCTGGGTGGCACAGGTGCTAAAGTACACAGTTGCAAGCTTGGGGCCACATTACAAGCACTTTTGGTGTGGCCTGTCACATTTTGACAAATCTGTAAATTCTGCTAAATATCTTGTCACATTTTTGTTACAACAGCAACAGTTTATGTTATGATTTAATATCAGAAATGTAACTCTACATCATCCATGCCCACTTACTCTCAGGGTTAGTGTGAAAAAATAAACAGCGATGCGGCAAAAAGAGCTGGAGAATGCCACTTCCGGAGCTATTACCATATTAGGATAGAAGCTCTGGGAAAAGAAAGGAGAGAGGAAACGGGAGTCTCAGAAAGAAAGAAGAAAGAAAGCGTCTGAAGGAGAAAGTGAGGGAGAAAGAAGATCTCTAGAAAATAAGCCACTATCCTCAGGATTTTTCTCAATGCTGGAGAGAGCGGAGCTCAGAGAAAGAGGGACAGATCCCTGAAGAGGCACAGGAGACGCGACTGGCAGCCGCGCTGAAAAATAAACAGAAAAGAGAAGAGTGAATTGACTCACTCCCACAAGCTTAGAGAAAACATCTGAGTGCTGACCACAAGGATTCAAGGCTTCAGACATGCACCAGATGAAAGGTACACACTCAAGATAGCAAAAGTAAAGAGAGAGAAACAACAAAATCCTACTTTAAAAAAGAAAGAAAGAAAGAAACGGATGAACCAGAGTTAAAGGGACTTTGTTTACTAACACCAAGTTCAGTCCAACCAAACTAATAAAGGTTAAATAAGAAGAGTATGTCGATAGAATTACAAAAATTATAAAGAATAAACATAAAGATAAGTGTTAATCTGCATCTGATTGTGAGTATATATATCGTGCGTGTGAATAATCGAGTGAAGTTTTCCTCTGTAATACCAGGATTCCTAATAGAGACATCCAAAGAGCAAAATAAAATGACAAATATATATAACAACCCTCCCGACAAGTGACTTCATAAAGCAGAACAGATTATAATAACATCCAAGACGTGGCAGGCAGGAAAGTCAGGGTACTTACAGTTCTTTGGGAGATTATAAAAGGATACACAGAGGCATCATAAGGTCCACAATCACAGTTAGTCTATACTTGAATTCTACCACTGCAATTATCTTGTTTAGGGATGTAATTTTTTTTTTCTTTTCAAACTAGTTGTAGTGATAAGAATCCTACTATAGACAGTTATAGTGGTGTACTAGTATGGTTATTCCCCATCCCCATTGGGAATAACTATACAGCTATAAGGCATCTTTATGGGGAATAGTAGCAGACCAATTAAGGCATTTTGCCAAGGATCCAGAAGGATGAATTTAAATCTCAAGCTGAACTCCTGCATTGACCCAGCAATGAGTGGCTACATAGTGAACAGGCTGATGAACCAAAGGCAGCTGAATGCAATGCTGGACATATCGCTCTTGAGTGCTGTTGGCAAGATACTGAAGGATCTTAACCTTGCTAGTCTGAGCTATGTAGGCTCAGCATGGACCTTGGGCTTGGAAAGCACTTATATACAGGTATAACTGCCTCCCTACTATTGCAACCAGTGTAGTTCAAGTACAACTTTCTAGTGCAGATAAGCCATTATGGAGCTGCATCAATGTAGAAAGACCAATTTACCAGTGTCTTATGAAAACATTGGCAGACCAGGTTCATTGGATCAATCCAATATCTTATATCAAACCAGCTCAAATAGTTGAAAAAATTATTCTTAGCAAGCTTTTGGGCACAAACACCCTTCATCAGGCTAAGGAAGCATCTGCATATGGTCTGTACTCTTTCTGGATTTAGCGGTAAAGCAGCCAGAGGCCAGTACATATGCAAGAAAGCCAGTCAGTGAAAATGTAACTTGAGGTGGTCAGTAGGTAAGAGAGAGGTGAGGGCAGGGGGGAGGAGGAGGGAAAAAGGGGGAATTAATGTAGCAGTAGTCAAAGGATGGGAGGTGGGGTAGGGAATGAGACTAGCTGATAAAAAGTGGAGGGTTTACCTGGGGAGTCAGATGTCAGGCAGGTTATAATGTGTCATAAATCCAGTGTCTATATTTACTCCATGTTTTTTTGTGTCTAGTAGATTGATGAAGGGGAGTTCATAGGCTTATCTGTGAAAGGCGTTTTATAAATTCCCTTTGAGGATTAGAACTGAGATTGGAGAGAGTGTGGCTTTCTTGTGAGAAATGGACCCCCCAGGTAAATTTGGTGCACTGGATGAGATATATTACATGTTTGGAGGTACAGTGTCAGATCCAGAAATGTTGATGGTTCTGTTATGGGGTGTAGTAATTGTGGGGGTGGTGGTGATGTGTTGGCAGGTTTTATATTTCTTGTCCCAGCATGGTTTGGAATGTGTGTGTTTTGGAATATAGGAAGTTTGCTTCTGCTGATGAGCTTGGTGAGGTTCAGTGCTTGTTTAAAGGATAGGATGAGTGGTTCTGGGAAAACCTCTTTGAGAACTGGGTCTCCTTCTAGTATGATTGCAATTGTTTGATGTATTTCTGTATAGGTTCCAGAGAGGGATGATATGTCATAACCAGTGGTGTACGATTCATAGAGGGGTTTCTTCTATATTGTGGCAATTCTTCACGTGGTATCCAGGTGAAAACAGTTGCATAAAGATAATGGCAACCCCTAGCACTATCAACCCACAACTGATTCTGTTTCAATTAAAAACACAAATGCAAATCTTTCCTATAATTTGCTTAATTAAAAAACTAAACCCTTCAATATGAGAAAATAGATTCCCTTATACCTCTTACTCTTTTCCATTATCATCATCATCATCTACTGTACTGCATAATTAATTTTCCATTCTGTTTGGTATGCAATCTCATACTGAATGCATCTCATATTTCCATCCTGAAGCACTGGCCATTTAGTGTTAAAGATACTACAGATATTCTGTTGTAACAGAATAAGTAACATCAGGACATGTTTCCTAAAACGGTTA